TACTATACCATCTACCCTACTCGATTATCCTCTGCCCTACTCTACTCTACTCTACTCGGCCCCACTCGAGTATACCCGCCACCTTGCCCTCGGCACTTGGCTAGGGGCTCGAGCGCGGAAGGCCTGTCGCAATGCTGCTAACCCGTGGATGCCCAGCACAAACTACACTACTCCACTCTACTCCACTCTACTCTACTCCGACTCTGCTCTACTATACTCTATTATACGTCTACTCTAATACGCCCTCCTCTACCCTACTCTACTCTACTCTGGTCTACTCGACTCTGCCCTGCTCTACCCGATCCTACCCTGACCTATTATACTCTACTCGATGCTACTCCTCTAGTATACCCGACTATACTACACCGTCTAGCCTACTCTCATCTGTTCTTCTCTACCCTTCACAACTCTACCCTACCCTAAACTGACTCTACTCTACTCGTCTCTCCTCTACTCCTACTCTACCATATTATTATCATGTTCAACTCTGCTCTATTCCCAGTCTACTCTCCTCGCGTATACTCTACTCTACGATCCTGTACTACTTTACTGGAGATGAAGAGGAAGCCAAGCGGATAGCAGAGGAAGCCAGGCGAAACATAGGAAGCCATGCGCAACAGAGGACGATAACAGAGGAAGCCATGCGCCATGCGCAACAGATGAAACCATGCTGAACAGAGGACGCGTGTAGGGGAGAAATAAAAATCCATGCGGATAGCAGAGGAAGTCATGCGCAGCAGAGGAAGCCATGCGCAACAGAGGACGCCCGTGGGGAAAAAGTAGAGGGGTGTTACACTGGACCAGTTGTCCACGCTTTGGGCTCGATTCCAATAGGCAAGCCGATTTGGAGAACGACACACATGCAGACGACGAGCGATCTCTCGACAGCCGCGGGCGAACAGGATCGCGCAGCTCCAGCGGATGCCCCATAGGTCCAGACTGCTTTCATTGCGGGCTTTCTGGGATGGGCGCTGGAGGTGTGGATGTCCACCTGGCGCAGGGCCAGAGGCGCCGCGACATCTGTGCCGTCCTCGACGTGAGCGCTCTTGCCCGGCTCGGATCGGGCCCCGGCGGCACCAGATACCGCATGTCCTGGGCCCGCCACATGGCGGCTGCAGCAACTTGGGCAGCGTGCGCGGTTGCACCGCTCCAGTCCAGACGGCAGCCGGGGCCCAGCGAGCCAGTGCAGCCACGCTCCCAGGCAGCTCCCGTCGCACGCTCTTGCAGCAAGCGGCACCCGCGTGGAGGCTTCGGGCACACAGCGGCCATCACATGCTGACGCCGTTGCCGCGAAGCGGCGCGCAAGCAAGCACGCCACGTACTCTGGTACCGCAGTCGTGAACGGAAACATTATGCGGTCCGAGCGGATTTCTTGGATCTGCGCTTGGAAACCCCCCTGGCGGCGCCTCCAGCGCCGCCCCTGGAGCGCTCCGCGCGCCAGGGAGAGGGGTCCCAGCGAAGATCCAAGAAACCAGCGCGGAGCGCCAAAAGTTTATGCTTGTGTTGTTTTTCCTCCTTCGATCTGCGAGAAGAGAGTCAGGTTGAGGGAGGGACGGACCTCCATCCCTCGCGGATTCTGGACGGCCGCATCAGGCATGCGCCCACGGCCGTGCTGCCCAAGCGACCGCTCTCCCCCGCCCCCTTTCCCGTCGACCCGCTTCCCGTCCCAGACCGTCGCTTTGCTTGGCCTGCCTATCCGCCTGGTCGTGCCGCTTGCCGCGGCTGAATCGCTGGGACATCATTCTACTGGCCCGCTTCAGACAGACCGCATGCCGCGTGCTCTGCGGAAAGACACGGTGGTTACGGAAAACGTATGCTGGCGCATGCGCGCTCAAACATAGAGTGCAACAAATTACACGCGCACGGGGCCGGATAACGTGCAATTGCCCGTGCTCAGGTACATGTCTCTAGACCGAGAACGTCTCACAGTGTTGTACTGCTGCGCTTCCGTACTTGGATCCATTACATCATCGTGCACTGATGCTGAATCATCCTCGCAAGCAATGTCTCTTGGCATCACACTGTTGCTCACCGTTGGGGAAGGCGCATCGTGACACCCAAACAAGGGGCAACGGTAAGCGCCTTCGCCCCTGCAGCCCTCCTGGCAGCCTTCGATGCAGGCGACGTTGGCACCCATGGAACTCCGAGCTCGACCCCTGGCTTGAGACTTGGTACATTGAGGCACGAAGAAACACTGCGCGCGAGCATTCACTGACGCAGGCAATGTGGCAGTTACGCGGCCAGAAGAGCTCACTACGTGGCGGGCACGAGCGCAGAACAAGAATCGTGCGCGTGATGCTGCTTCCAGGTGAGATGTTCGGGTGTGTTGCACCCCACAGTGAGCAGCAAAGACGTGCACCCGCAGACACCACCGCAATACCGCAGAGGCACAGACCGTGGACCGATCCCGAACTGGCGGCAGACCTCGTAAAATGGCTTCCACCAGCTAGCCGCTCTCGACGCTGGCAAGATCTCTATAGCGCTGGTTGAAGACGGGCAGGAGAGTCTCACAAAATCGCGGCCTTACTTCACAACACCAAGTCTGCACTGCAGCGTGACACGAAGGAGCGACAGGCCAAGAGGACCGACCGGGCCGGAATCTGCGAGCAGGCGTGCGCAAAGTGAATGCCCTTCTGGCGAGCCTCTGCCGAACCAGCCCGATGCGCGGTGGAGAGATAAGGCTCGGGCCCCGCCCGCCATGAATGGGATAAAGACACCTACTTATCATTTCGGAGGTCCACGAGGATTCATTGGGTCGGCACTGGACCCCCTTCTCCGAACCATGAGAGGGCAGAAAATCCACCCCCATACGAAGCAGCCCGACGAGCGAAGCCTTTTCGTAAACGTACCCATGGAAGGAATCGAGCAGGGCAGGACCGTTTAGTCAACGCCTGGGGCCGTTTACAGTAGGGGCACAACCACAAGAAACCTTCCACAAGAAACCCAACACTGAGACCCCAGGACGTCCATTGATTCTTGGTGTGGGAACGTCACGCTTCCCATGGCAAAACCATCGAAATCCCAGAAACCCAGGGCACCCTGGAGGCAAGCAAGGTGTTTCTTGTCATTGCACCGGCCTTGCAGTGCTGCAGCGGATTTCTGCGTGGATGTCTGCGTGGATGTTTGCCCGAAGCGGCGGGCGAAAAACGAAGTGAAATTCGAGTGGATTAGAATGGATTATTTTTGGTCTTCATTCCTGGCCCAAAAAAATCCGCACTAAATGAACTTCGAAATCCGGAGCGAAATTCTCCGGGACTCTCCGGGCTCACCCTATCGTTTTCCGAACGAAATCCGCTCTGCGATGTTGGCGCCAAGATTCTTTGCATGGGTCTCCACTGCAATAAACGCCGATTGTCGGGGTCGGGGTGCTCTGTCCTCCCGTGAAACGGGTCCCCGGCGTGCGGAGCGCGCTGGGGTCAGCGCCGGAGGCGCAGACCCAGGGGAGATGGCGGGGAGGGGAAGGCCCGGCGCCGACCCAGGCGACCCGCGCGGGCCCCCAGAAGCGTGCGGTCGAGAACTCCTGCACAGCGTCAGGTCGGGCATGTCGTCCTACGGGCGGATTGTGGACGAAAAAGAAGGGGGAACCAAAAAAATAGAGAGATCCTCGGAAATAGTCGAGGATAGTCGAAAAATCAGCCAAGACTGTTTTTGTTGCTATTCTTGAATAGCCCTCCTGTCGAGGGACAGGCCCGACTTCAGCTCGGCGTGTCGCCGCGGCAGCCACGCTGTGCCCTGCGAGCGGACAGCGTGTCGCTCCGCTCCGCGGGGCGGGAGGCTCGAGGAGGCTTAGGGTGGGCCTGTCCCCCTACAGGGAGATCTTGGACAAAAAAATTGAAAATAGTCGAAAAGTACCCCAAAAATATTCAAAAATAGTCACGAATCGTTTCCAAAGCATTTATGACTATCTTTGAATCTTCCTCCTGTAGAGGGACATGCCCGACTTAACGGAAGGCTCGGGACGCTGCCGCCCTGGGACTGGGAAGGGGCCACCGTGCCACTCCCAATCAAGGATCTTCAGACCCAGGTCAATCCGGACCCGGGTCAGTCGGGCCTTGCATCAGGTCTGGCATGTCCCCCTACAGGCGGATTTTGAGCAAAAAAAATAAAAAAAAACAAAAAAACAAAAAAAGTCAAGACATGTTCAGAAATACTCAAAACAAATCCCATGCCCGACTTAAACCTGGGTCAATTCAAACCCGGGTCGTCGGGCCTTGCAGGATCCGGCAAAATCCTGCAGAACCCTTCAGGATCCTGAAGGATCCTGCACTCAAACCCGGGTCAGTGCAGCCCTGGCTCTGCATGCAGGATCCCGTAAGATCTGGCGCTCTGACTGACCCCCGTTTGCATTGACCCCCGTCTCTTGAGCCCCCACCCAGGCACGGTGGGCCAGAGCTGGCAAAGCGACACACCATCCAAAAGTTCCCGACCGCATGCTCCTGCCGCTGGTGCTATCGAGCCATCGAGGGGAGAGGGTAGGAAGAAGAAAAAGCGGCATAAGCACAAACTTTTGGCGCTCCGTTCCGATTACTCTTGGATCTGCGCTGGACCCGCCTCCCTCGCGCGCGGAGCGCACCAGGGGCGGCGCCGGAGTCGCCGCTGGGGGGCGCAAGCGCGGATCCAAGACATCCGCGCGGAGCGCCAAAACCTTATGTTTCCTGGCTTTCGGATGAAGCGAGCGGGACCTGACGGAAGCCGGTCCTGGATCCCCGAAGCTTTACCCACCGGGACAAATTCGTCCTCCGGACTCGGTGTTCTTGTTGCTGACGGTCCGGGGCCCACGGAAGACCTATGGCCTATGGGATGGAGCCCGAGGTCGATCAAACAAAAATCCTCAGGACCTTTTTCCCCAAAGACACGCTGGCTTCCTGTCCGCTAAACTTCGAGAGGGGCAGGAGGCTGCTTGGACCTCTTCGTTGGCCGAGGCGTCTGCGGAGGCCGCGGCCCGCCTCCGCGGGCGCAGGGCCGTCGCACGAGCGGCGCCCCGCGGGCACGCGGCCGGCTCACGAGGGAAGCGCGACCTGGAGCTCGGCGCAGTGCCGTCGCCGCCGCCCGTGGTCGTCGACGACGTCGTCGTCGTCGTCGACGTCGCCGTCGTCGTCGTCGTCGTCGTCGTCGTCGTCTGCCCGACCGGGCGCTCGTCGCGGCTCCTGATTCCCCTGGGCGCTCCTCCTCCTCCTCCTCCTCCTCCTCCTCCTCCTCCTCCTCCTCCTCCTCCCCCTCCCCCCTCCCCTCCCTCCTCCTCCTCCCCCTCCTCCTCCTCCTCCTCCTCCTCTCCTCCTCCCCTCCTCCTCCTCCTCCTCCTCCTCCTCCTCCCCCTCCTCCGCCTCCGCCTCCGCCTCCTCCTCCTCCTCCTCCTCCTCCTCCTCCTCCTCCCCATCCTCCTCCGCCTCCTCCTCCTTCAGGTGTGCACCACTCGTCGCTTGCCCAGCTGGTGGCGTTCATCCTCGACCTGCCGATGCATGAGCCTACGGAAGAAACTTGGTAGGACCGTTTATTACATGACGCTTGATGCTTCCTAGTCGGTCGTTTCTGCTGCTGAGGGCCGTGTGCGAAACGAAGCTTCGCAAGAAATTCGGTCGTGGCTCGTGCATAGGTCGGATCGGGGCGCCAGGCGAGTGCACCTTGCTTGCAAAGGCGCCACAAAGTGGTGCCCGTCTACCACACTGTCGGTGGACGGCACCGTCGCTTGTGACCCGCTGTCGTTGCGTCAGGCTGAGATCAGAAAATGTCCCAGCCTGCGGGGTGACGGGAGCTCGAAGCCATGGTTTAAGCATGGAGAGTCGTTTCCTGAACTTGAGCCAATCCAGATTGAAGTCATTCGGACTCGCTCGCGGGCGTTCAAGGAGAACACTTCGGTTGCGACTGGTGAGTTCCTGATGCGCCACCTTCACATGCTCAGTGATCATTTGCTGATGGCTCTCCTTCACTTGTTCTACCTCATGGAGAGGACCGCCCTTGTCCCCTCTCAGTTGGCTGTGTCGGTCTGCTCTCTCTCTCTCTCTCTCTCGCTCATCCCCACGGCGACGGTAGACTTTCGGCCCATTGGCAACGCCTGCAATGTGTATCGTGCCTGTGGCCGCATGCGCCGACCCCAGGCGCAGCGCTGGGAAGAAAAACACGCTCGGCCTTTTTTTCGGTTATGGGCCCTTTGAGGGAGCCCAAGACGTGGTTCGGCGACAGGCCTTGAGAGTCGAATCCACTGTGGCGTCTAAGGGGGAGGCGGCCACGGTGCTGGTTGATCTCTTCAAGTACTAGGAGACTATCAATTTGAAAGAAGTGCTCTTCAGGTGCCGCTGTCTTGAATTCCCTCTCGGGATTGGCACATGGCGGTAACTATGTACTTACAGTCGAGGGGGGGGTCGCCTTGCGGGGTTTGCCGACGGCCCTTACTAGGCTGGGCGAGGGATTGTGGCGGGGTGCAGTTTCGCCACCAGCCTCATCAGAGTCTGTGCGTTGACTGCTCTGGACGCGCTCCTTTGCCCTCTATATTGATGACTCTGGGCTGTCAGCTACGGGGTCCCATGAGCATGTTGCTACCCACCTCCCCCCTTCGGTCATTGCCCTTCACAACGCCTCGGAGGAGGGGGTGGGGGCTCAGGTTTCGAACGACTCAGGAAAGCGTTCCCTCATCGACTCCTCCCTCGACTTGGGTCGCCTCCTGGAGATGCAGATAGGTTGTCTGGCAGGCCCCTTAGTGAGTTCTGCTGGCAACTCAGAGGCGTGCACGACTGCGCTGGCAAGGCGCGCAGGAGGAAGGGACGGTCTTCTGAGGCAAAGCCCGTGAGCAGAGGTCCAGGAGACTTGTCGAGATCGGCGAGGGTCCGAAAAACGGCCAGAGTCGTGCGGCCCACAAGGTTTTTAGAAGCCTCTTTATCGGCGATGCATCGGCGATGCACCCGCGATGCACCCGCGATGCATCGTGGACGTCGGCGATGTAACGGCGACGTCGACGTGAAGCAAATCGGGCCCCACATCGAGCCGCGTCGGCGATGCATCGGCGATGCGGCGCGATTCTCCGACCCCATCTATTCCGACCCATTTAGGACTAGAGTTTTTGTGTCTGGAGCCATGACCTCTAATCTTTCTGGGGCGGACATTCTCAGTGTCACGGACCATGAGCTCCTCATGTTTCAGAGGCAGGCTTGGGTCGGGCATGTCCTCCTACGGGCGGACTGTGGACGAAAAATTCAAAATGCTCAAAAAATACCCGAAAATAGTTGAAACATAATCGAAACAACTATTTTTGTATATTCCTCCTGTAGGGGGACAGGCCTGAATTAAAGGCAGGCCGCGGCCGTGCCTGAGCCGTCTGCTCGCGGCCGCAGCCTCACATGCCTTGCCTTCTGCTGGCTCATCGGGAGCCGTGCTGGCTTGCCGCGGTCGCCCCCGTCGCACGGTGGGCCAGGGAAGTGTGGACATCTCTAGAAGAAGGAACAACGCCATAAAGATACATTTTTGACGGGGGTCCAGCGCTGATCCAAAAAATCCGCGCGGAGCGCAAAATAAAATGCTTATGTGGTATTCTCTTCTTCGATCATATTGCCCCTCTCTCTGTCCCTCTCAGTGAGTGAAAGAAGCGTCGGCTGGTAGTCTCGTAAGTGAACCCCCGCTGGAGCGTAATGTCGCTGGACCGGTGGTGGTCCTCCGTGAGAGTTGTGAGAGGGGATCCTTGCAGATGCCCTCGTTTGCCGAGTTTTGTGACCGATCAGGGACAGTTGATCAACCTCACTGAATCTTCGCCCTGCTTAATCCAGATGATAAGTGGAGAGAAGAAAAAAGCTGCCCATAGGAGCCTGGAGGTCGACCTGGGGGCCCGTCTCGACATGTCCTCTTGGGCTTCTGCTGGCGGCATGTTGTATTCCTTGAGGTCGAACAAATTTTCCCCGTTTCAGCAGGGTGCATTCGGTCCTGGTTCTCTGATGCCATCTGCACTAGGGTCCGTGCAGCCAGCCTCGGCTACGTCATCTCGGAGCTTTGCGACCTCTGCAATGAGGCCCTTGATACACTAAGGCACAGAATATGGTAATGTTCGGCTGTCGATGAGGAACGTGCTGCACTTGTGTCACCAGATGTGCGTAGGCTTGCTGCTGCTGATGTTGCCGATGACGCCCTGGCGTGTTATGAAGCTTCCCCGCATCCTGGAACCAGTTCTTCGCGCCTGTTCCGTTATGGAGGCATTGCGGCTGAATGGGTTCACGCCACGGATGTTGTCATAAAAAGCATGTTTTCGGAGACCAGTTTTGGACGAGGAGGACCGTTCCCGAACTCAATCGTGCTGGTTGGGCGCTTACGGTTCTCAGCTGAGGCAAGGGTCTCGAGGAGGGCCGTGTCCGTGGCCCCGTGTGGGGCCAAGCGCCCCAGACCCCGCAGGCGGCCGAATGTTTTACCTACAGCAGCGCCCAGCAGTGGTCGGTCGGCCCGACCACGCTGCTCCTGGACTGTCAAACTTGTGTTGGTTTCCGCGGGTTGCCTTTCGAGGACCAGTGCTCAACGAAGCATGCCGAAGCGGGAGTGGCCCAGCTACGCAGAGCCTTTCTCTTCTCACCAGCGCCCCGCGTCGAAAGCGAAAGCTCACCAGTCTGAGGCCGACGGCGAAGATGTTTTTGAGCGGTACCTGCGTGGAGGTAGTAGTGCCGTCGATCGGTCAGCGAAGCTAGCCGTCGAGTTCCATCTTCAGTTTGATTGGGGCGCCTCCGAGCGAGTCGATTTAAACTGTAGGGTCGCCTTGGCTGTGGCCAAGCTTGCTGCCCACATGTTGCCTCAGTGGCCAAAGTTCGACATGGTCCAGACGCCGAAGAGAAAGGAACGTTGCGGGGCCCTCCTCTCTCGCAAACAACGAACAAGTCATCTGGATCAGTGAACCGCTCTTTGTAATATGATGTGGCAAGACACCCAATCCTATTAGGACGGCGACCACCTGAGGCCCGAGGCACACGCATTCTGGGCGGAGGGCCAGCGAGCCGCTCGGAGGCCCCAGGGCTATCGAGGGAGGGAAGAGAAAAGCAGGACAAAAAAACATGAACAACAATAACGAGCATGTGTTGCCACATGGAAAAACAAGAAAAACATGAAAAACAGCGACGGTCACTGGTTTCGCTGCTTTTTTCGTGATGTCCCATGTGAAAACAAATGTGTTTCAACATGCGTCGTGTTGTTTCACGTTTTATTCTCCTTCGTTCCGCTGCGAAGCAGGGCCGCAGGCCGCTCGGGGACCCCAGGGCGCCCGAGGGAGGGGGGGAGGAAAACAAGGAGAGAAAAAAAAATGCCCCCCCCCCCCACCACCACCACCACCACCCCACCCCACCCCACCCCACCCACCCACCCACCCACGCACACACAACAACAACAACAACAACAACAACAACAACAACCACAACAACAACAACAACAACAACAACAACAACAACAACAACTACAGCAACAGCAACAGCAACAGCAACAACAACAACAACAACAACAACAACAACAACAACAACAACAATAGCAACAACAACAACAACAACCACCACAACCACAACAACAACAACAACAACAACAACAACAACAACAACAACAACAACAACAACAACGACGAAAACGTGAAAACCATGGCAATCACAGGCGTCGTTGCCCTTTTTCCCCTTTCTTTTTCACTGTGAGGACACAAGTTTGGTATTGTTTGTTTTCCTGTGTGTTCATGTGTTCCTCTTCCTCCTCCGCCCCTCGTCCCCATTATCCCCCTCCTCTGCCTCGGCCTGCGCGACCTCCTCCCCCTCCTCCTCCTCCTCCCCCCCTCCTCCTCCACCTCATCCTCCCTTCGCCTATCCCCCCTTCGGCTGCCATGGGGATAGTCGCGAACATAGCATAACTCATGGGCACGCCGCTCAAAGCGCCTGATCGCCACCAGCAACCCGCATGGCAATCGCTACTGAGTTTGCGCAAGGTGCACGATCACGCCAGCGCCACTCGCTTGAGCTTGCGCCCCCTGGACTTCGCAGTGGAGCGAGCAGCTCGGCATGGAGACGAGTCCTTATCAGTG